TTTGTCTCCCTCTCTCACTGCCTCTCCCCCGCTCATGCTCTGTCTCTCTCTCCTTCAAAAATAAACATTAAAAAAATAAAAATATAATTAAACTGCCCTCTTCAAAGAACATTCCAGTTTCTACTTTTCACCAACAATATATCCTCACCAACACTGACTGGTATAAATCTTTTCGATTTTTGCCAATTTTTTTTTTTAGTATAGTTGACACAATTTTTGCCAATTTTAATGAGTGAAAAAGAATCACGTTGTTTGCACATTTCTTTTTACTAGATAGACTCAGCACTTTACAAATCTGTGTTGGGTATATGTATTTCTTGTATAAATAGTCCAGACATATTTGCAACATGGATTTTCCCTGTTGCCAGAAACTGAAGTCAGACATGTTGTTCAATAGTGGTGTTCTATCCCCCAGAATGCAGTGTTATTTCCCTAATGCCCGATATTTGTAAACATTCCATTACATTTTTTAAAGTTTATTTATTTATTTTGAGAGAGAGAGAGCGTGGGCAAGGGAGAGGCAGAGAGAGAGAATCCCAAGCAGGCTCTGCACTGTCAGTGCAGAACCTGACGTGGGGCCCGAACCCACAACCTGTGAGATCACGACCTGAGCCAAAAACAAGAGTTGGACACCAAACTAAGCTACCCAGGTGCCCCTGTGAACATTCCCTTAAATGAAAGCGTTAAGTATTTGTATAAGTGCTTCCTGAACAGTGATACAATCCCTAAGTATAAAAGCACAATCGCCCAGGACAAAACTCATTATTCTCTGATCCAGCAAGACCTGGCCTTTAAGAAAGTCACTGGCAGAGGAGCACCTGGGTGGCTCAGTAGGTTGATCGTCCAGCTTCAGCTCAGAGCATGATCTCATGGCTCGTGAGTTCAAGCCCTGCGTATGGCTCTGTGCTGACATCTCAGAGCCTGGAGCCTCCTTCAGATTCTGTATCTCCCTCTCTCTGCCCTTCCCCTGCTTGCACTCTGTCTCTCTCTCTCTCTCTCTCTCTCTCAAAAATAATAAATGAGCATTAAAAAAAATTTTAAAGAGAAAGTCACTGGCAGCAGTACAGCCCCTTCCTGTTAAGTCTGAGGCACAGAGAAAATTCCATGGAGTAGATGCCACATTGGCTCCTACCTGTGGGACTTGACTGCCACTAACTTCAGTCTTCACCCAAGTCAAATCAGTGTGCTCATGAATCAACACGACCTCTCTTCCTGCCAGTCTTTAGCTCAACTAAAGGGACACAATAAATATTTTGTCCCATTTCTATTTTTGTATCTTACCAATTTGTTCTAGATATATATTAATCTTTCACAGGTCATTTAAGTTTTAAATATTTTCTCTCAATCTATCAGCTTTTACATCTTATCTTTGGCCATGCTCTGAATTTTTAGACGTCAGATCTGCCAAATTCTCCTTCATGGTTTTTGGGTTTGTTTTGCATTCCTCATACAAATTATGAAAATAAACTTTTTTCTTTATTCCTAATTTTGTCTCATTAAAATGAAACCTTAGATAAGATTTTAAATAAAAGACCTTTTATCTCCAAATGCCTAGCCATTTGGACTAAAAATATCTTTCCTTTTCCTGACATAAAACGTGACCTATAGCATGTATTACTAAAATTTTATGTGGTTGTAAAGTTTATTCCAATGGTGTATTTCTGCATCACTACCACTTATTTTTATTTTATTTTTTGGAGAGAGAGAGCTCAAGTGGGGGAGTGGGACAGAGGGAGAGAGAGAATCCTAATCCTGACGCAGGGCTCAATCTGATGACCGTGAGATCATAACCTGAGTCAAAATCCAGAGTTGGATGCTCAACCGACTGAGCCACCAGGTGCCCCAGTATCACATTTCTGATATTGTGGCTTTATAAAGTTCTAAAACATGGTAAGTCAATTCTCCTATAATTCTTTTCCTAAAGTTTATTTACCATTCTTGTGAATTTACTTTTCCAAATCTTTATCAGCTGGACAAGTTCTTTAAAGTCTCACTGAAATTTTTATTCAGATTGCCCTGAATTTACAACGAAAAATGGCAGCCATCTATACAATATTGAGTATTTGCGTACAAGAATATTGCCTATTTTCTCATTATTCCTATCTCCTTTTTTGTCCTTTAGCAAATGTTTCACTCATATAGATCTTGCAGTCTTGTTAAATTTACACCTGGATAGTTTATACCCATTGCATTTTCTGATCTGTCTGTATGTATGTGGGGTGGAGGGCTTTAAGCTAATTAGTAAACTATGTAATAAACTAGTAATTTTTGCATGCTTATCTTTAACTCTCTCACCTCACTGAACTCTCTGCGCAGTTCCTGTTTTTCAATTTCTGGGTTGTATTTCTAAACAATCTTATACCTTGTAAGTAATGTTCTGTTGCTCCCATTCCCAATATCTGTATCTCATTTGCTAAGCCTCAGAAAACACTGTCGTAGCACTGAAGTGTTAGCTGGCATTCTTGACTTGTTCCAGACCTTAATGAGAAGAATATACAGAAAAAATAATGTGAATTCCAGTGTCATGCCACTGTTAACTGCTTCCCACCCTGAACTTCATCCTAGTTATTTCATTAACCTTACAACTCCATGTTTTTACCCAACCAAAACTTTTTACCCCACTTATGGCATTATGGAGGATGTTACTGTACTCCAATATTTCATCATTCAAAACCATGATTCTGATAGTTCTCTACTAAAAAGTACACTGTAATCAAGTTAATAGTTTCCTTCTCTACCTTACCTACATTTAAAAAGTTATTGTGGATTGTATTAAATACATCTTCAAGGTATGCTTTTCTCTTTCAATCTCTTTAACATCCAAGTGTACCCAAGAACGCATTATTCTTTTAATATATTGCTGGACTTAACTAATATTTTAGTATGGATTTTATAACTTGGGTGAGAATAAACTCTAGTGGTTTTTATTTTTGGTAGTATTCTCTCCAGGTTTGGACAGCAGGGACATTACTTTGAATTATGAGGTCTCCTTTCTTGTCTTTTCATTTCCCATATTCTTAAACAAAAATTACCTATTCTGTGAAATTTGACAAAACATATATTGAGTGTGTGGAAACTTTTGCAGAGGTAATTTTTTAACAATTCAAGTTAATTGATTATAAGTATTTTAAGGGTATCTGCTTCATTTTCAATAACTTATAAAAATTTTGTTAATTCTAGAAAAGCATCTATTTCACTGAAAGCTTCAGAATATTAAATTTTTCTAGAAATGAGATTTCAGATGTTTTAGGAGTACAGTTATATGCACTCTTGTTAGAAGAAAATTCTTTTTCCTCTGCAAAACCCAAACACACACATCATCATCTTTGGAGGTTACAAAGAGGGAAATCATGAGAACCTTCTAGGTCAGTCTGGAAATCACGTGATGTCACAGCGAGATTGCCCTCAAATCCCCCATTTCTGTGAGACTAGCTTTACAACTTATCATACATCATTCTCTTACAAAAAGGTTAATAGGGTTGTGCTGAGAACAGACTGCAATGGGGCAAGTGTGGAAGTAGGAAGGAGTTACAGGGCTATTGTAGGTGAAAGCTAAGGGTGGCTTCAACTAAGTTGTTAACAGTGGAGTGGATGAGAACTAGTCAGACTCTGAAAACTGCTTGACAGGTGAGCCAACAGGATTTACACACACAATGTGCTTTCATCTGCAACACTGCGTTACAAGCAGATTCTCAACCAGGTATAGCTTTTGGTAAGAATCTATGCACTGACTTCAAGTTTTAAGAAAATCAGGTCAGGCCCACTGTTTTTTATTTGTCTATCTTTGTACACTAAGCACAGTGCTTTGCACATTTGTTGAAAATTCATGCGGATGACCAATTGTGCTTTCAATTGTGACACGATATTAAGATAAATTTAGTCAACTATTGAAGTTTTGGGTCTTATGCTATTTCAGAATTTCTGGTGAAAGGGGCTTATAAAACACATAGGGACATTCTAAATATAAAACATACGTCTGGATTAGAACCTTGCTTTATTTAAGTGTCCTTCATGCTACAACACAACCCTTCCAAGTCAATCAAGTACGTAACATTATATCCTTTTTCAAAACCTGTAATTCATAGTCATAGCTTCTCAATTTCTACAAGTCAATTTCAATGCCTAAAAAGGCATAATATTATGACTGTGGCATCAAGTCCCGTGTTACGTACAAATTTAAGAAAAGCAAACTAGAGATTATTATCAGCAAAACTCAGTCAATTCTGTTGATACACCTACTTCTCAACTCTAAACTTGTTTCTTAACACTGGTGGGGGGTGGGGGGTGGGGGGAGGAGTTAAAAATATCAGTGCCAGGGCTCTACCCCTAGTGAATTAAATCAGAATCTCTGCAGGCCAACTTTTTTTTTTTTTTTTTAAAGGTTCTCCAGCAAATCTAATGTCAGCCAGAGTTGGGAGCTACTGCTCTAGGAGAATCTTAGAGACAAAAAAATAAAAATAAAAATAAAATAAAAATAAAAATAAAAATAAAAAAGCACAGCACAGGGAAAGTGCCAGAACATGGAGAATGACATCTTGAAAGGTCCAATGGTTACTAATACTAGACTCTACATTACAGCCTGATCAATTAATCAGTTAAGAAAAAACAAAATAAGGCCTAGAAAGATCTCTGTTACTCATCTAGAATCATCCAGTGTAACAGCATTTTGCAATGGGGGAAAGCTAGAGGGTTTCAGGTAATAAGCAATGCAGAAACAACTGCAGGGCATCAGGGAGAGGATGAGGAGAAGCGGCTCTAGTTTCCTGTGTTCCAGTTAAGGAAACGAGGAAGGGGATGGAAAGGTGCGTCCAGGAGAATGGGCTCCTATGATCTAAAGGGTAATGTTTTATTAATTTCCTTTTCACTCACAGTTTCAAACATAAAGCAACATTAAATATGGGGCAAAGGAAAGCTGGTTTCCAAGAATTTGTGCCTTCAAGTTTTTACTTGGTATAGCAGTTCTTCAAGCCTGGAACTATTCAAAGATGAATCATGCAAAATAAGAAGAAAACCTTTATTTCAAACAGGTTTCTTGGTATGTGTGCTACAGCAAAGGCTGGTTGTAGCAATTTCATTTCAAACCTGCGATCATGTATAAATTAGACATTATTTGGGAATGATTAATTTCTGCTAAAATGTAGATTCAATCCAACATTATGCCAATTTTTACATTTATTGTAGATCCTAATTTAGCAGTAGAGGTTAAATTTTCATGACCAAAAAATGAGAATAACCTTAGAGCTGCCACTAAGGTAATGAGCTGTGAAATTAATTTCCCAGTACTGCTATGAAAATATACCCCTAGGTTGTAAAGACAAATTCTGATTCCATCCAAATGTATTATTTAACCGGAATTCTTCAGTCATCATCTACTGTTGGCTTGATCGTCACTCCTCTTCTTATTTGGCCCCAGCCAATTAAACTGCAAAAAACAAAATTTTTAAATCATGAATTTTATACCTCTTTCATTATCATTACCACACAATCATATGACGTAAGTGGTTTTACTTGCCTATCTGCTATGAATGTTTCCAAAACCTGCGCTCCATTAAGAAAGCTCACACTATCTTCAGATTCTCAGGCTCACAAAGATGGGCTCCAGCGATAATAAATGACCAAAAAAAGCAAACAAAAAGTTGCTACTACAAATATGCTTGTCTTTATTCTATCCCTAGAATAAAGGGATACACTAATCCCTCCAGAACCACCAGTCTAGTCCACCAAAGTATTCATGCTGATACACAATCTACCACAGCCTGATTTTCTAAAATATCTCATTCTCTATCCTTTCCTCATTGAAAAATGCTTTTTTTACTATTCACAGCACTCGACAGATCACAAAGGATTTAGCATGACCTTGGCTGGTAAAGAAAACTTAGAGAGGAAGCAGAATATATAGTCTGGTAGCAGATTACTCTCAGTAGCAGAGGAACCTCTGCTCCCTTTCAGTGTTTTCTCTAATCAATGAGTAGGCTGGATTGCTACCTCAGCAAAAGCTTCTAGAACAAAACCCATCTCATGGGGTAAAACCACAATTCTAAAGAATGTAAATCATTCAGATGTTCTCATTTAAAAATATTAACACACTTGCTAAATTAAATTTGATTTTTAAATACTTTTATTATTGAAGTATAGTTGGTATACAATATTGTATCGGTTTCAGGTATACAATATAGCGATTGGACAATTCTCTGTATTACTCAATGCTTACCATTAAGTGTACTCCCCATCTGGTGCCACACAACATTCTATTATTGACCATGCTCCTTCAATTGTTACTTTTCATCTCCAGAACTTACTTATTTTATAACTGGAAGCCTTAATCCCCTTCACCTATTGCACCCATCCCCCTACCCACCTCACTCCACCACCAGAAATCAATCTGTCTCTGTATTCATGAGCCTGCTTGTTTTGTTTTTTTAGATTCCACATACAAGTGAAAGCATATAGTATTTGTCTTTCTCAGGGCACCGGGGTGGCTCAGTCGGTCAAGCGTCTGACTGAGGCTCAGGTCATGATCTCGCGGTTTGTGGGTTTGAGCCCCACATCAGGCTCTGTGCTGGAGCCTGCTTTGGATTCTGTGTCTCCCTCTCTGCCCTTTCCCAACTTTGCCTCTCAAAAAATGAGTAATATTTAAAAGTAATAATATTTGTCTTTCTCTTATTTAACTTAGTGTAATAGCCTCTAGCTCCATCCATTTTGCCACAAATGACAAGACTTAAATATTTTTTGGGCTGAGTAATATTCTGTTGTGTACATATACCACATCTACTTTATCCAATCATCTATGGATGGACACTTGGCTACTGTAAATAACTGCAATGAACATAGGGGTGTACCTTTTCAAATTATGTTTTCATTTTTGGGGGGGGGGGTAAATACCCAGTACTGGATTTACTGGTATTTTTAAATTTTTGATGAACTTCCATAATGTTTTCCACGGTATCTGCCACCAACTTACATTCCCACAAACATGCATGAAGGTTCCCTTTCCTCCACATCCTTGCCAAACACTTGTCTTTTTCATACTAGCCATTCTGAGTAATGTAAGGTGATATCTCATTGTGGTTTTGATTTGCATCTCCTTGATGATGAGTGATATTGAACATTCTTCAGGTGTTTGTTGATAATCGGTATGCCTTTGGAAAAATGTCTATTCAGATGCCCATTTTTTACTTGAATTGTTTGGGGTTTTTCAGTGTTGAGTTGTACAAGTTCTTCATATATTTTGAATATTAACCCTTCATTGGAGCTATCATTTGCAAATACCTTCTCCCAATCAGTAGGTTGTCTTTTCATTTTGTTGATGATTTCTTTTATTGTGCAAAAGCTTTCTATTTTGGTATAGTCCCAATAGTTTATTTTTGCTTCTGCTTCCCTTGCCTGAGGAGACATACCATAAATATGTTGCTAAGGCTAATATCAAAGGTTAGTATGTTTTAAGTTTTGTGGTTTCGGGTCTTTAATCCATTTTGAATTTATCTTTGTGTATGGTGTAAAAAAGTGGTCCAGTTTCATTCTTTTGTGTGTAGTCGTTCAGTTATCCCACCACAATTTATTGAAGAGACCCTTTTTTCCGCACTGTGTATTCTTGCCTTCTCTGTCATAGATTAATTTACCACTTAAGTGAGGGTTTATTTCTTGGCTATCTTGTTCCATTCGTCTATGTGTCTATTTTTGTGCCAGTACCATACTGTTTTGATTACTACAGCTTTGCAGTATAGCTTGAAATCTGGAATTGTGATATCTCCAGCTTTATACTTCTTTCTCAAGACTACTACTCTGGCTATTCGGAATTTTTTGTGGCTCCATACAAATCTTCGGATTGTGTGTTCTAGTTCTATGAAAAATGATATGGTATTTTTTTAATTTATTTTGAGAAAGCGAGAGCGAGCATACAAGCAAGGGGAGGGAGGAAGAGAGAGAGAATCCAAAGGAGGCTCTGTGCTAACAGCCCTACACAGATGGGGCTTGATCCCATGAACTGTGAGATTATGACCTGAGTCAAAATCAAGAGTCAGACGCTTAACCGACTGAGCCACCCAGGCAACCCAATGCTATGGTATTTTGATAGGAATTGCACTGAATCTGTAGATTGCTTTGGACAGTATCGACATTTTAATAGTAATTCTTCCAATCCAAGGAAGGGAAGCCTGGGTTGCTCAGTCGGTTAAGTGTCCGACTGGGGCTCAGGTCATGATCTCAAGGTTCCTGGGTTTGAGCCCCGTGTCAGGCTCTGTGCTGACAGCTCAGAGCCTAGAGCCTGCTTCAGATTCTTTGTCTCCCTCTCTCTCTGCCCCTCCCGCAGTCACACATGGTCTCTCTCTCCTTCAAAAATAAGCACAGGGGCACACGGTTAGCTCAGTTGATTAAGTGCCCGACTTGGGCTCAGGTCATGATCTCAGTTTGTGAGTTCAAGTCACATATCGGGTTCTGTGCTGACAGCTCAGAGCCTGGAGCCTGCTTCAGATTCTGTGTCTCCCTCTCTCTCTGCCCCTCCCCTGCTGTCTCTCTCTCTCAAAAATAAACATTAAAAAATAAATAAACGTTAAATTTTTTTCTGTAAATAGTAATTTTTCCAATTCATAAGCATGGTATATCTTTCCATTTATTTGTGTTGTCTTCACTTTCTCTCACCAAAGTCTTACAGTTTTCAGAGTATAGGTCTTCCTTGGTTAAATTTATTCCCAGGTATTTTATTCTTTTGGGGGCAATGTAAATAGGATTTTAATGTTTATTTATTTTTGAGAGACAGAGACACAGAGTGAACAGGGGAGGGCAGAGAGATGGGGACAGAGAATGTGAAGCAAGCTCCAAGTTCTGAGCTGTGAGCACAGAGCCCGATGTGGGGCTCCAACATATGAGATGTGAGATCATGACCTGAGCAGAAGTCGGATGCTTAACCAACTGACACACCCAGGTGCCCCTAAATTTTTTTTTCAACGTTTATTTATTTTTGAGAGAGAGAGACAGAGCGCAAGCAGGGGAGGGGCAGAGAGAGAGGGAGACACAGAATCTGAAGCAGGCTCCAGGCTCTGAGCCATCAGCACAGAGCCTGAGGTGGGGTTCGAACCCACAAACCATGAAATCATGACTGAGCTGAAGTCAGACATTTAACTGACTGAGCCACCTAGGCGCCCCCATTTGTTACTAGTTTTAACAGTTTTCTGGTGGAGTCTTGCTAATTTTTAAGCAAAATCTAAAGTTTCATTTGGACAGAAATCTCTTAAAGGATTAGCGGGCAGACACAAAAAAATCCTTTTATTTTAAATCTATTCTGATCTAGGAATTGTACCATTCTGAGACTAATACACTCCATGCTGTGAGTTTTTCAAAGTTTACTATTTAAGCCTATTTTAAAATACCCTGGAAATCAGTATGTCTATAATAGCAAATAGTATAATCATACCAAAGAATAAAATCAAATAACATAAATCACCACAAAGCAGGATTATTTACTTAAAATTCAACCAAAAGTTAAACTCTGTCTCAATTACAGAATAATGATTCAGATCGATTTTCTGAACAATAAGTGATGAGAAACCTTCAGGGGGCACGGTATCAGGAAAGCCTTAATAAGGGAAGTAAGCACTGAGAAAAAAACAGACAGCCAAAGATATGAATAGTTATGACAACAATGAGGACACAGAACAATGTAATTTAGAGGGTTTATATGAGACAAAGAAGGAAGAAACATAAAATGCATTGAAGTAGGCTTCCAGAAAGGTCCTGAATATCATAAAGTAATGGGAAGCTACTGAAAATTATTGAACATGTCATAATAAAGATGTTTTAGGAAGATTAATTTTGACCGAATTCTTAACAAAGGAAGAGGTAAATTAGGAATCTTTGGCAGTAACTTTTAGGTGTGAAAGAATGGCTATAGGGATATAATGAGGTCACAAAGAACAGGAAGGGTAGTTGCAGTAACTAACCAGGTAACTAAAAGCAAAGAGAAGTCTAAGATCTGTTGTGTTTCCTAGCTCTATCCACTCAAAAGACCTAAAAGGAATAGCACCCTAGGAACAATGAACACACCTGGCACCTACATCTTCATTTCTAAATACCATTTCCCACTAAAAGAAACCAGGCTTGGAAAAGTGGCCAATTCTAAAACTGGAGCATGGGAGGTATGAGAGGAGTTTGGAACATTTTGTGCCAGAAAGTAAGGAACTATTTAAAAAAAAAAAAAAAAAAAAAAAAAAAAAAAAAAAAAAAAAAAAAAAAAAAAGGTGGGGACGTATCAAAAGGACACAGGAGCCAGCCTCAAGAGTCTCTACTGGATGAATCCTGAACAATTTGGGTATCAAAATAAATAAGGACAGTAATGAATCATAACCTACTGAATAAAATAGGACTCCACGAATCTAAATTATAACTACTTAAGTAAATAATAGGGAAGAATAATAAATGAGAAGTGGCAGGTTTGGAGGAGGGATGTCATCATTTTAATAACATAATCAAGTTCAATTCAGACAAGAATCATCAGTGGATGAAGAGTAGACTAATCACATAGTCTCAACTAGTCTTCCCACAAAATGAGGTGCATAGGTAAAAAGAGTAACTATAGGGGCGCCTAGGTAGCTAGGTTGGGCGAGTGTCTGACTGGCTCAGTTCATGATCTCACGGTTCGTGGGTTCGAGCCCCATGTTGGGCTCTGTGCTAACAGCTTGGAACCTGGAGCCTGCTTCAGATTCTGTGTCTTCCTCTCTCTCTGCCCCTCCCCCACTCGCACTCTGTCAAAAATAAAAAAATTATTTTTTAAAAAGTTAAAAAAAAAGAGTAACTATATAGAAAATTGGAACAAAACCTTACTTGCATAATCAAAATTAACCTTAACAAGGAGGAGCAATCAGATCTCATGTGCCTCTGGCTATGATTCCCTGAGGAGGCATCACCAACTATATAAAGTATTCCAGCCAAGACTATATAACCTGAATCTCATCTTAAGAAATTTCAGATAAAGTGAGGAAGAGTTTAAAAACCAGCTTATATTCTTCAAAATAGTCTATGTCAAGTAAGACAAAGAAAAGCTGAGAAAGTTTCAGATTAGAGATCAAAGAGACATGATAACTAATGCAATGCATGAGCCTAGAATGAAGGGACTAGAGGACATTATTGGGAAAAGCCGTATAACTGGATTAGTGACTGTAGATTTCAGTAATTTATCAATGCTAACTTCTTAAAGCAATTATATAAGAGAATGTCCATGTTTTTAGGAAATATACACCAACTGTTAAGAGATCAAGAGGTATGATACATACAACCTGCTCGTCAAACAGTTGAGCAAAAAGTATATACATGTAGAAGAGTACTTACACGCATATGTAAAAATAAACGGTGTATCTGGGAAAAGGGAATACAGGAGGTTATGTGCAATTCTTGCAATTTTCTTGTTAAGTTTGAAATTATCTCCAAATAAAATGTTTTAAAAAGCCAAAGATAAGAGAAACACTGAATCTAAATTCACCGGTTTCTTTCATAGGTTGTGTATATCACAGATCAGGGCTAGAGATAAAGATTTCAAAGCCATCCAAAAGAAGAGCTGAGCTACAGCCTCAATAACTGTTATGTTCAAGGTAAAGTGTGCACATACACCACCAAGAACTTAAGGGAATTGACTTTTTTATTAGTGACAGAGGCTAATAAACTTACCGCCAGTGTTTCTCAACTCTTCGGCTAAGAGCAATTTTTTCTCCTACTTCTGTGCACACAGGATTAGTCAGAACGATTTTGCCCAAATCGGCCTTAACTGCACTAACTCTTCCTCCTGTCGACAGGGATCCTATGTTCACCATGAGCACTTCATTCTTAGACAGCTTTTGCACCTAGGGAAGTAAATAGGGGAAAAATAAACCCTAAAATCAAGAAAATGCTTTCCAAAAAGGAATGCTTATTCTCCTACATCCTTGCCAACAAGAGATGTCAGCAACTGTCCATCTCTGCTGACTGAACCTAAGACTTTAAAAATCAAAATCGGGGCGCCTGGGTGGCGCAGTCGGTTAAGCGTCCGACTTCAGCCAGGTCACGATCTCGCGGTCCGTGAGTTCAAGCCCCGCGTCAGGCTCTGGGCTGATGGCTCGGAGCCTGGAGCCTGTTTCTGATTCTGTGTCTCCCTCTCTCTCTGCCCCTCCCCCGTTCATGCTCTGTCTCTCTCTGTCCCAAAAATA